AGAACCAATTAAAAACAATTAATAAAACATTACCAAACAAGCATTTTAAACACACAAGTGAATAGAGTACAAACACACCGTGAATATAAAATAACATGATAAAAATTAGTCAAAAGAAAGCCTGCTTAAAAAGACGGGTCTTTAGACGAGATTTAAAAGTGTGAAGACTATCACTGCTCTTTAGATCCAGGGGAAGAGAGTTCCATAGCCGAGGAGCTAAAAGATCTGACTCCCATTGTGCTTAATCGAGTGTGAGGTGGCACCAGGGAGAAAGAGTTGGCTGATCTAAGAGAACCAGAAGGGGTATAAATATGGAGAAGTTTAGTGAGATATTGAGGAGTAAGATTATGAAGTGTCTTGAAAGTTATAAGCAATATTTTAAAATCAATATGAAACTTTACCGGAAGCCAGTGAAGCTGATAGTGAAGTCTTGTGAGGTGCTCATGAGATGAGATGACACGAGCTGCATGATTCTGAACCAGTTGGAGTTTATGGAGAAGTTTAGAAGGAAGCCCAGAGAGAAGTGCATTACAGTAGTCAAGACGTGAAGTAACTAATGCATGGATGAGATTTGCTGTGTTATTGGTTGTGAAAGAAGGGCGAAGACAAGTGATATTAGTTGAAATAGGCAGTTCGTGTAATATTAATAATGTGTTTTAAATCATTTCTAATAACTGGTAATGGTCCTGATTCTCAGAGGTTTTGGAATATCATCAAAACCAATTCATCATTTACATTTCTCTTTATGCATATTGACTTGCATTTTATGTTTGTGGCTCTGTGAATATTGTACATGTTTGCTGTATTGTGTTTTATTCTTGACTGTTTTTATTTTTGTATTTTTTAATGTAAAGCCTTACCATGGACGAGGGCTGCAAATTAGCTTTATGCTATATGCCCTATGTACGCAACATTGGTTATCTTTGTATAACAATGTCAAGTGTATTGTCCCTTTAAAATAAACAAGCAAAATAAAAAAATAAAAAATATATTATTTTGACTGCTTCAAATATCTTGGAACATGGTTGTAGATGATAAACTGTCATTTGAAACCCACATAAATTATTTGCTTAAAGGTTCAGGACACCCTGGAGAACTTTTTTATATATTAACAGATGTGTGTGTGTTGAGCATCAGTTAAGACAATGTTAGCACTTTAATTGTGGGGAAAACTGGATAATTTTGAGCTTTTGTCAGCTAATTTCAGCTTCCGGGTTTAAAATGATTTTTGGGGCGGGATCAAAATCGGCGACGTAGCACAGTACTGCAAGTGCAATGATGACGCGTCGGTTTCTTATTATTATTCATAGCGGAGTTTTCTTATCCTATGAGAAGAGCCGGCTGCTTAATTATTTATGAGACCTGCCAGACCTGCCAGAGTCAAGCCTGAGCTGAGAGACACGGCACAGTATTTAGCCGTTCATGAAGGCTCATATGCTTTTGTTTCCATGATCCACGGGGTTTGTTGCATGTTTTCTCCAGCGATCTTGTCAGGGCCAATAATACAGCAAAGCTGTGTGTGTGCTGCTAGCATTTTTATCGGGAGAGCAGCACGAGAATTAGAGAATGGCGGACGCTGTCTTTTATCAGGAGTTCGTTCACATTCAGACACATCACTGTGCTGCTGTGTTTGCCTAAATCCTCCAGATTACCAGCAGGGCTAATGGTTAAAATAGACAGCTCAGGAGACCTGCTGCACTGAGTCTGCTGGATACGGGGATTGAGGGAGAAGTCCTCATTTATAGTGTTTACATGAACTCACTTATCTTTATAATGATATAAATTGTGGTTGTCTGTATATGAAATTACGAATAACAAATATAGCAGGACATTAAATCACTGTTCATTTCTTTGCATTTGAACTTTGTAAACTATAAACTCATGCGTCTCTTCACAGTTTGTCTCATTTTGTGAGCTAGCTTCGTTCGCTCACGTTCTCCCCTGCTGGCCACGCCCACTCCTGCCCGATGCTCGCGGAGCTCCACGCCCATTAATCATGCATCTTTTGAAAAAATTCTGAAGTAGACTTTAACCGAAAGTGGGGGGTGTCATGGCCCTTTAAAAAGGTTAAAGGTTCTTTACAGAAACAAATCTTCCTTTATGCACTCTTCAAAGCACCATTTGTTCAACTTTCCAATTCTGGATGATGGGGATTTAATTTACAGATCAGCTTCAAAAACTCTCCTTCACAAACTGGATGTTATTTACCATGCAGCAATTGGTTTTTATTACTGGTGCGCCATTTAATAATTGCCACTCTCATCTTTACTCTTTATTGAATTGGCCTTCCCTTCAATCATGTCGGCAAATTCTTTGGTTTCTGTTCGTTTACAAAACTCTTATTGGGTAAACTCCACTATTTACAGTCACTTCTTAACATTCAGGAAACATGTCGAAATCTGCACTCTATTAGTTTTATTAACCTTTGCATACACTCTCAGAAATAAAGGTACAGGAGCTGTCTTCTTTTTAAAAGACACATATTGGTACCCAAAGAGTCAACAGTGGTACATAAAAGGTGCATAGTAGTACCCAAATGTACCTATAAATTACATTTTAAAGTACCATTATGGTACAAATATGCACTGTTTGAAAAGTTACTGCCCCAATGAGCTTCTGTACCTTTATTTCTGAGAGTGTACCCAAAGTTCATTTGGTCGTTACTCCTTTCAGCTTTCTGCTGCTGATGCTTGGAATAACCTGCAACATACTTTAGAGCTCAACACTTTTATTTCATTATCATCATTTAAAAATTCAATCCAGTCAATAGTACAAGAGAACTGTGCTTGTTTTTAGTTTTTTCTTGGTTTTATATATCAATATCAATATCAATTTTATATTATCAATATTTATGAAATTTTTATTGTATTGTGTCCCTGCTGCTTTGTACTGGATCTGCTTTTTATGTTGCCTCTTGGCCAGGTCGTCATTGTTCTGTAGACAATTCAAACAAATATTGCCTAAGGGGACAAATAATATCTACCCTAAATGGTTTTAAAAACATTAAAAACTGACTTTATTCCAGTCGAAATAAAACAAAGTTTTCTCCAGAAGAATAAATATTATCAGAAATACTGTGAAAAATTCCTTGCTCTGTTAAACATCATTTGGGAAACATTTAAAAAAAAAGAAAGCAAAATTCACAGGAGGGAGAATAATTCTGACTTCAACTCTAGGTGATTCTAAAGTGTCCGAAGCAAGTAATTCAAGTCTTACTTTCTACACAAACCTAGTATATACTATATCCAGTATATGGTTGAATGTTCAGTTTTGCCCCTCAAATACTGTAGTAGTTGTATCTGAAGCCTGGAAGAGCTTGGTTTTATGTCTGCTCTCTGTGCTGCAAGGACAAATCAATTATGCATGCTTGCACTTCCAAAGGATGTTGATTCCCGATGGACTTTTTTTTTCATTTTCCACATTTTTCAGCAGCTAAGGTCATCATATTAAGTCATATACATGTCGAAAGTAAGATAAAGTGATGAAGAGAGCCGTGAATGGGAGCTTGACAAATATCTGAAAAATGTTTGTCTGTGGTCCTTTAAGATAATCAAATATCCCTTTTTACGTAGTAGACTCTTTATTAAAGTATTGTCTTATATTAAAATCAGAGTATTAGTGTCCATGTAAACATACTTAGATAATGTGCCAGATGATGTCACAAGCTTTTAAAGACAGTCCATTCCTCATCTTTAAGGAGATTCGATGAGCCCTCACATTTCATAAATTTGACGCGTTTCTCTCCTGCACGCAACTTTTGTAGCATCTGCTGCATGTTGGTGTGTCAGAATCCTTACTTGTAACATATAGCCATACCGTAGAATGCTTAGTTTAGGCAAATTAGATGAATACGATCATGCGTGTTGATGCAGTGAATCGCTCACCGCATGCGCCATACTGCGCGCCTTGCTTACTATAAGCTACAATAACAAACGCCTGACATCGCTGACATCCGTATCCCTCAAAGTTGTTTGGAATTAAACATTTAGAGATGTTGTGACACAACGCTTTCTCACAAGTGTCTTTAATGCACCCCTTTATGCTTCTTAAGCGTGTCACACATCGAATGCGCCGCTCAGAGCCGCGGCACGGAGCGCACATGACAGTTGATAGTATCACACACCAGACGTGCACATTCGCATGTTATTTAAAATGAAACTATTCAGATGGCGCTCTGTGGCATGGCAGAAATATGAACAGTCCATAGTAGTGACTGGACGGCGCGGACAGCTGCTGATTTGCGAATTCTAAAATGCATCGTGCTGCGCGTCGCCGAGCGGCGCTTCCGGTGCACGAACTGCTTTACGTTCTTGTTATAGCACCCAAATTAGGATTAGGATTAAATTTAGCACCGAAATTCATATGCTAATTTGATCCGGTGCATACAGGTTCCAAAGGTACCGTGGCACAGAGTTTCAGTACCCAACCCTACTTGTAAGCAATGTGCTCAATAACTGTACTTTCATACTTAGTAAATGATTTATTTTTCATTACTAAATTAAGTATCACATTATTTACAAACCAGTTGTATTTAGGAGTAGTTTAGGGTTTTTAGGCTAATTCAGAATGAGTTAGTAAATGATTAATAAACTATTGAAATCAACATTGATTATTATTCAGGCATATACTAATAGTTAACTAATATGTTAATAAACGCTTTATTAACTCAACTTCAACTTTAAAAATGTAAGTGTTAAAATAGGAGTCTCCTGGAAAAAAGGTTGGGAACCACTGCCCTAGTGGACACACTATACATATTTCATCATAGGTGCCATTCAAATGTGTGAAAAAAAGTATACAAACCCATTTTTTAACATAATAAACTATAATAAATTAAATATATACACAGCAGTCTACCCAGTGTCCTCACGATATGTGGTCTGTAAATACTTGTTGTTTTTGAAATTTAAGCTTTAAGACACCCTGAAGCTGACTGCCATTGAAATGTGTCATGACTTTGTTGTGTCCATTGTGTAACTGCGGTCTTTGTGTTCTTATAGTTGGGGTGAAGAATTCAGCATCAATAAGCACCCACAGGTTTGTTGTCCAGATGTGTGCGACTGCCAACACTAGAGTAGTGTCTGAAATGAAGAAACATCTGTGGTTAATTTGCTTTACGGGCTGTGAATCGCATCGAGTTAAACAGTAGCTATCCACTGGGATTATGGTCAAATGCTTTACCATGGGATTACTCACCCATCTTCTGTTCAGGATACAAATGTGTTTTGTAGATTGCAGAAGCGATTAAATGACCACAGACTACAATAAATGCCCTAGATGGAGTTGTTATGCATTTATAAAATATTATCTTGTAGAACTGTGTCTGGTCCATTTAAAAATACATTTCTACTATCGGTACACATACAGTGGAACTCTCCTGTTTGTTTTTACATAATTTTCTGTTTAACAGAGAAGATTATTTCAACACATTTCTACACATTATAGTTTTAATAACTTATTTCTAATAACTGATTTATTTTATGTTTGCCATGATGACAGTAAATAATATTTTACTAGATGTTTTTCAAAGATACTAGTATTCAGCTTAAAGTGACATTTAAAGGCTTAACTAGGTTAATTAGGCAAGTTAAGGTAATTAGGCAAGTAATTGTATAACAATGGTCTGTTCTGTTAACTATCTGAAAACAAATATTGCTTAAGGAGCTAATAATAGTACCTTTAAATAGATTTTTTTTTAAATTAATAACTTATTTTATTTTATCCGAAATAAAACAAATAAGACTTTTTCCAGAGGAAAAAATATTATTGTAAATACTGTGAAAATTTTCTGACTCACAGGAGGGTGAATAATGTTTACTTCAACTGTATTTCAAAATATCTAATTATTATTCTTTTGGATTTGCTGAAATTGTTCTCCTTTGTTTGTTTTTTTTTCTTTGTTTTGTACTTTTTTTCTTTACTGCTGCTTTCATGTACATAAGGTTACGGTCAAATACACTCAAGGGCCACTTTATTAGGTACAACTGCTCATTAACGCAAATTTCCAATCAGCCAATCACATGGCAGCAAGTCAATGCATTTAGGCGTGTGGACATGGTCCAGACGATCTGCTGCAGTTCGCACAGAGCAACAGAATGGGGAAGAAAGGTTATATAAGTGACTTTGAACGTGGCATGGTTGTTGGTGCCAGATGGGCTGGACTGAGTATTTCAGAAACTGCTGATCTACTGGGATTTTCAAGCACAACCATCTCAGGGTTTACAGAGAAGAAAAAGATAAAATATCCAGTGAGCGGCAGTTCTGTGGGCACAAATGCTTTGTTGATGCTAGAAGTCAGAGGAGAATGGCCAGACTGGCAACATGTCCAACCTTAAGGCAGATGGGCTACAGCAGCAGAAGACCACACCAGGTGCCACTCCTGTCAGCTAAGAACAGGAAACTGAGGCTACAATTCACACAGACTCACCAAAATTGGACAGTAGAAGATTGGAAAAATGTTATCTGGTCTGATGAGTCTCGATTGCCACATTCAGATGGTCGGGTCAGAATTTGGCACCAACAACATGAAAGCATGGAGACATTCTGCCTTGTATCAAGGGTTCAGGCTGGGGGTGGTGTAATGGTGTTGTAGATATTTTCTTGGGACACTTTGGGCCTATTAGTACCAATTGAGTACCGTGTCAACACCACAGCCTACCTGAGTATTGTTGCTGACCATGTCCATCACTTTATGACCACAGTGAATCCATCTTCTGAAGGCTACTTCCGGCAGGATAACGCACCATGTCAAAGCGCCAATCATCTCAGACTGGTTTCTTGAACATGACAATGAGTTCACTGTACTCAAATGGCCTCCACAGTCACCAGATCTAAATCCAATAGAGCACCTTTGGGATTTGGTGGAACTAGTAATTCAAATAATGGATATGCAGCCGACAAATCTGCAGCAACTGCATGATGCTATCACGTCAAATTGGACCAAAATCACAGGAATATTTCCAGTACCTAATTAAATCTATGCCATAACGGATTAAAACAGTTCTGAAGACAAAAGTGGGTCCAACCCGGTACTAGTAAGGTGTACCTAATAAAGTGGCCAGTGAGTGTATATTGCAAAATAAAAACATATATCGCAATGTTAAATTTTTCCACTACCGTGCAGCCCTAGCACCTTTTAAAGTCCTGTACTGTTATTTTGTGTGGAAAGCTTTCATTCTTAGAAATGTCTTTCCCGTAAGCACAGCCTTTAAAGTCATCTGCAAACCATGTGCTGCTAGATAAATATCTTCAATATCTTTATTCTGAAATTAAAACATCTGACGCACATTTTTATAGATCTTCAGCCAAAGTACAGAGATTTAGGAAGTGTATGCAAACAAGAACTGCATTTATTCTTTTGAGCAGATCGTTCGTGTCAGAAATGATGCAAATCAGCGGTGAATAATAGACTAAAGCTGTTTATTAAAGCTGCACCGTTTTTAGTCAGGCACATTTTTTCCTATAAACATCTAAATCTCCTGTGCCTAAATCTCCAGTTTAATATACACAGACGGCAGACTGCAGAGATTTAAAAGCTTTTATTGCTTTGCTTTTCAGGGTACAGAAGTCAAAGCCATCACCTATTCTGCAATGCAGATTCATGAGACAGAACAGCCAGAGATCTTCGTCATCATCGACATCTGAACAAACATTAATTAAAAAATAAATGAAATACCTCGTAAACTAACATGACAAGTTTCTACCTTCTAGAAATGCACATTTTTTGGAAACTCCTGTTGTACTGCGTGGCTAAAATACTATGAATTTGACAGATTTTCAACATTAATATTCGAATGCTTTTATTTTCTGATTCAGAAACTCATCTATACAAAAACACATCATACAGAATAATGATTGATTTAGATCAGCTTTGGTCTTGATTTTGCTATTTAAATAAAGATTTATAAATGTTTGTATTGATTAAAAATGCTTTAAACATGACAGAAATAAAATATAAAAGCAGTTAAAAGTTTATTGAAATGCTTTCATTTTCTGATCTAGAGTCTTATCTATACAAAAAGAAATACTGCTGATGCAGGATAATGTTTGCTTGTTATGCGATTGGTCTTGATTTTGCAATTTCGATTATCATTTTTTAAATAATTTGTGTTGATTAAAGTTTTTAATTTTTAAAATTCAACTCTGAAACTGGACTGACACTGTTTCAGTTTACTAGAACTTCTATGTTAAGCTGCTTTGACAATCTACATTGTAAAAATACTATAGAAATAAAGATGAATTGAATATTAGTTATTGGCTGTTTCTCAATATGTGTTCTTCAGCGGTCTTGCGTCCTCGTGTTCTCGTGAAAAGTCATCATCAGCTGCCTAAGTTCAGTTCCAATACTCAAGACCGCAAGTACGGAGGACGCGTGAAACTTCCCGGATGTGTTCTTGATATCGAGGACGCACTGATGCAGACTTGAGCACCGAACTCCCTCTGGAAGTCCCAGAAGTCATTGCGACTGGAGGTGGGAAGCGCTGCATTTTATTTAGATTTATTATTTAAGTTCAGAGATATCACTTATTTACCTCAGGAGTTTCCCTAAATGAAACGGTGAAATTAAACATTAACATGGACATCTTAATAAAGGAATAAACACATTAAGGGTGTTTGTTTGCTGAAATTCATATTAAATTTTGTTTTATTTATATTGTGCAGAGTATATTTATAATGCTTTTATGCACAGTTTATATTTTGAAGAGGGGAAAAACAATAAATCGTGGTTTGAGTGCTGTAATGTTTAAATAATTTTCATTTAAAACACGTGAAGGTCACGTGACCATCAGGAAGAACGCAGCATCTCATTTCTGAAAGGACGCATTCTCTGCCCTCGCGGTCTCCTGAGTTCGTTCTTCCGAGGACACCTGGCAAGACCGCTCTCCACAAGAACGCAAGTCCGTTCTCTGCGTTCTTGGAATTGAGAAACAGCCTTTGATTTTTTGATACACTCAAAATTGACTTGAATGAACTGTCAACTATTCCAATACGTTTTACGCAGTGGATGCCCTTCCAGCCGCCACCCAGCTCTGGGAAACACTCATAAACACTCATACAGTACAGCCAATTTAGTTTATTCAATTCACCTATGCATGTCTTTGGAGTAAACCCACATAAACACAGGGAGAACATGCAAACTCCACACAGAACTGGCAACCTGTCCAGCCGGGACTTAAACCAATGACCATCTTGCTGTGAAGTGACAGTGCTAACCACTGAACCACCGTGCCGCTCTCAAAAATGACTTCAAACTTCTAATTTAAAATGAGTTGAAACATCTCAATTCTAAAGTTTTTTTTGGGGACAACTTAATTCTTTTATGTCCAATCCACTTTAATTTGTAAAAACGATGAAGTTAACTGAAGGAATTGTGTGGAGCTCAGCATTTATTTTTTACAGTGTGTTACTGAGCAGAAGTTGTACTGAATGTTAATGTTTCCAAACTATTGAGCAGTGCTGTTTCTATATAACATGTAAATGTTTATGCTACAATGAAAGTAAATAACCCAGGCTCATTTTGAATACGTACCTCAATCTACATTTCTAGAGATCATCAAATACATCTCAAGCCTGGTTTATACTTCTGCGTCAAGTGACCGGCGCATGCAGCGCGTAGCTGTGCATTTATAATTCTGCGCGCTGTCTCCGTTGGTCTGCATTAACACTTCCGAAACGCTAGTTGGCAGTGAGGTGTAAATGTTCTTCTGTGTCAGGAACCGGCGGACGTGCAGCAGCTTTAACTATGAGGTAAACACAAAAAAAACTTTCCATCCGGAGCTCCTTCACGGGACTTCACACTTGTAAACAATCGCTCCATCAGGCTCGCACCATTCACGCGGCTCTCAGTCCCGCCTAGACTCGTCAGCGCTACCAAGCCGACCAATCACAGAGCTTTCGCAACGCGTTGTTGCGACGTGTAGTTACATTTTTTGAGAGGTGCACGTCAGTGACGGCGACGGCCATGGCGAAGGGCTATGCGTCAGCGCCGTAGCATACGCCGGCGTTTGACGCAGAAGTATAAATCAGCCTTCAGGAGCTACGATTTTTGCAGCTTTTGTTTTTGCGAATCCACCAGAGGCTGCTGTTGAGTTGACTAACTGACCAATCAATCGACTGTGTTTTCTCTTATCAAGGCAGCGCCACCGGCATTTTAGCTACACATGTGTAGTTGCCCAATCGCCCGCTCTACAACTGACTGAGTGCGAGAATGGGCATCATTGTGTCTGCGCTCTTGGTCAGTTTATGGGTCATTGAGGGGGGTTAATAGCCACGTCTTTAATGGATAACCGCGGTCTCCTGATATGCAGTTAAATAATTGCGCTCGCTCACTAAAATAAAATAAAAACAGCTGGAATAATATCTTTAATTACATCACTCACCAAGAAGCCACCCATCGCGCACCCTGCCACCTTTAAGCCTTCGAATTCGACCATTGACAATGTCCTCTAATAAGACCAACACTGCCATTGCCAAAGACTAGGGGTTGTATACATTTGCAAATGCTTTAAAACGTTCTAAATCACATGATTGGTAAAAAAAAATTATATATTTTGTGTCATCTAACCCATTTTATCAATTATAAGTTAATAGCAATGTTTTTCACGTGTGTTGGAGCGATAGTTTGACATAATTTAACATAATTGCCTCTAGTAGTCGCCAATGGAAATAAAACACACACAGGAAATACACGTACGCCAGACATGAAGTTGGTGCAGACCAACGCACACTCTCACGTTAATTTCATCGTTAGTAAATCCAAACGTTTTTGTGCGTACGCAGTGTTGATATGTAAGGCCCCAGGTCACAGGTCCGCCGACGTAAGCAGTGAGCCACTGCAGAAACTGATAACCACAGAATAGCCGTCCACATGGACATAAGTGGCGCCCTATAAAGTTTTAAAGATGAAGTGCAGCCATACATACCTCTGGCTACATAATTTGCGCTCTTCAGAAATGTATATAGCGGCACGTTTTCAGAATGAGTCAATGATGCAAGTAAACCTCTTCAGTCAGTCTGTGCACAATAAAATCCTTCAAGCATACACAGTCAGAAAATGTTCATGTTCTCTTTCACACACACAAATGAACAAACATGGTCACTAATGCTTTGATGTAGAACCATCTTATATGTAAAATTAAAGCTGAAATGTGTCGTTTTTATGGCGCCAAACAATAATAACTCCAGGTAATAATGATTAATAGTAAATATATATAACTAATAGTGTTATTTCACACTATTTATGGTACACAACTATGGTTGGATATATAATTTTGAATACATTCAAAAGCAGCTCTTGGGTGCCATTAACCCAAAGCATCTTGTGTCTAAAAATGTAAAATGCAGCAATGATACTAACGAAATCGCAGCACAGAGCACGAGGGTAAACAGAAGCTCACAAAGTTGGCCCCGCCTAAGTTCTTCTGATTGGTCCACTGATTTGGCACTGATATTGAAGAGCGGCTGCATGCAAAAGTTGAAGATATTTTAACTTGACACTGCATTTAAAAAATGGGGCAATTGTGTCCGCCAGTTGTAAAGACGTTATCATAAGGAGCCATTCACACAGAACACAATCTACAAACATGACACGTTGCGTCCCAAATTACATTTACATGCTAGATTCTTAATCAGAGTATTGTTTCAGTCATATTACTAGTGCATATAAAAGTACTCAATGATGAGAGGCATCCTTTAACAAACACAAAGCTTAATTAGTTTCAATACATTATACCATCATAAAAACAATGCACTTACATTGGAGATAAGGATTAAATATTAAATATCATTGATTCAATGCCTAGAATGCATATGCGTGGCTGTCATCACGGGACAGTGTAGAGGAGAAAGAGAGAGGTGCACTGTAAAACCCAACAGTCAACTTTATCAAATGAAAAGAGTGTAGTTCACTTAAAATGTACTGAAAGTTAATTCTACTCATTTGAAAAGAATTTTGAACTCAGGGTTGAAGGTAATGAGTTCATTAAATACCTCATTACTTCAACTTAAATGGAGTCCGTTCACAATACTCAAATAGATTAGTTTTTTTTTAACTCAAATGGTTTGTTGCAATCGGTTTACTCAAACGGTTTGAGTTGCCATAACTTATTGAGTTTTACAGTACTCAGTTGGTTTGAGTTCTCTTCATTTATTGGGTTTTACTTTGCTCAAATTGCTTCGTTTACTCAAATGGATTAAGTTCCCTACTCATTAGGATTAGCTTTTAAACTCTGGTATCAGCCAGAATAGCAAAGTCCACTAAAGGAGGTCGAGCCTTCTCATTTATGGCCCTCAAACTCTGGAACTAAAACATATGGAATACTCCCGGAAGAAAATGAGATTGTTGGCGTGTATGCACTATTTACTAATACACTATAGGGTTCGGGGATGTGATTTTTCTGTACACAGATTTCCGTATTTTATGAGCTCAAAGGGGCGACCACTGTAATTTTAAACCTAAATGGTTTGTGGCAATCAGTTTCCTCAAACGACTCTGGTTTTACAGTGTGGGGAGAGATGGCGAGTCGCTCACCAAGTAATCTGGTCTTGAAAAAGAACACAACTCCTGCAGTTTGGCAGTACTTCGGGTTTTGACGGAACGAGAAGGGAAAGGCGGTAAATACAGATGAGGCAATTTGCAAATTGTGCAACAAAAAGGTGACCGCGAGAGAGGGAAATGCCTAAGGTCGCATGTACAGTATTCAGTTTCTGAATGGTTTAGGCACAAGTCAACAGTTTGGTGACGCTGTCTGAGCCGTACATCATCATTTTTTGTGTGAGGTTATGAGCTTCATAGAAGATCTGGCAACTTGACGAACGGGAGATCAGGGCTTCTGGTAGAAGCCAGAATAGCAAAGTCCACTAAAGGAGGTCGAGCCTTCTCATTTATGGCCCTCAAACTCTGGAACTAAAACATATGGAATACTCCCGGAAAAAACGAGATTGTTGGTAGGTATGCACTATTTACTAATACACTATAGGGTTCGGGGATGTGATTTTTCTGTACAAAGATTTCTGTATTTTATGAGCTCAAAGGGGCAACCACTGTAATTTGTCCTTCTTTTTTGAAGGAGGAGGGGGGTGGGGGTCTCAGTGAGGTTCATTGTCATCAGAGCAGAAGACCTGATTGATGGTTTGCTCTTTTATTGTTCATTATTGTGCACAAAAAGGAGCATACAAAAAGGGTACATATCAGGACCTTAAAAGTACAAATCCTCTTAAAATTTTTAGGCACTAATTTATACTTTTGAGGTACCAAAATGAACTCTTTAAATACAAACATGTACCTTTTAAAAAGGAGACACACTCTGAGAGTGTATGGTAATCAATTTCTGAATGGTTTAGGCACCACCCAACAGTTTGGTCATGCCGTCTTACATCATTTTTTTATTATGCACGATAATACCAATACACCTTTAAAATGTTACCATCAGGTCGTTGATAGCCTATTGTGTTCCAAGATGCTTAAAAAATAGGACAAAATAATCACTTCAAGCAATTAGGTTACTAAATTCCTCCTCTATCAGTAGCAGTTGATGGCCAGTATACTTGATATTTATTTGGAGTAGGGGTTTCGTGGTACTTTAGATTTTAAATTATTTATTTACATAAATGCCAAATGTGAAATGTCAGATGTGTCTGTAAGTGTACGCTGCAAATGAAATCTCTCTATGGGGACAAATAAAGTTAATTAACTAATTTATACACATGCTAATATATTTTAAAAATACAGTATTTGTAGCTGTATTTACAAACTGCTTAACAAATAATGAATTAACTATTTGCTAATGCTAAATAAATGAGTCATAATGTGTAGTTAATAAAAAGTGTTGCCCTTTTATCATATGCTGTGTTCCAGATGTTTTTCTACTTTTTAAGAGGAAATAACATCTAGTACGCTGCCAGAAAGCAAGTCAGAAAGTAGAGCTGAGAAAACAGAGCCACAGTCCTCAGTGAGACATTTCATTTCTCATCACTTCCCAGATGAATGCTTGTTCTGATTCAGCATAATAATAATGCTCTGTTCCTGACACATTCAGACTTCGGAATTTCAGCACTGAAGTCAGAAGATTTCAATGTGTTCCAGTCAATCACGCCTCAAAGTTTCATTTTCACCTAGTAAGATGTGAATGGTATTATGTTCAAAATGTAAAGAATAGGCTGTTTTTACGCACTCAAACATGCTGTTTATGAGTTTAGTCTGGTCACAATTTCAAATTGCATTCCAGTTGATGTTTACCAGTTGCCAAATAAGTTACATAAATGACCAAACTAACAAACAATCATGAGTACAACCACATTCACCATCTGGAGGGGAAAATAATCACTTGCGTAGGAGAATTTTGCTTACAAAATCCAAAATAAACAAAGCAATACAACCTTAGCAACCGACTGCTTCGTCATTCAACATTAAGTGCGCTGTGTTCAGCATTACACACTTACAGTATGTTTATCGGTTGAATGTGTGCATCATCCAGGTATTTAAAGTGAATTTTTAGTGTGAAAATAGAAGATCTGGCAACTTGACAAATGGGAGGATCAGGGGGCTGTTCCATAAACCAAGCTTAGAGAAAAAGTCAGACTTATTTTGGTAAGTCAGGTTAATAATGGCAGATTCTGTTTCATAAATCAAATTTATGAGTTTAAACTCAGTTACTCTGGCAACTTATGCTGAGAAACTAGCCTGGTCCTGGGCAGGTTAACTCTCAGGCTAAGTCTTAAGTTTATTTAAGTTTATTTATTTATTTATTTAAATTGAATTAACATTCGCCTGCTGTAATTTGATGCCATTTTATTTCAATTAACCTCTTAATAATGATTAAAACTTTATAGTCATTTAATAGTAAATATATATATATATATACATTTCAATGAACATTTCAACTAAATTGTATATATTTTTTTTTATGTTTAAGTTGATTTTTTTCCCTGTTAATTCAAATTTAATTTAGTTTTTTCCCGCAATTAAACACATTTTTGGACTGATCTTCAGTTTATTTTTTGTTAAATTAGTTTAAAATTTGGTTTTGATACTGAACACAACTAAATATATTATTGTAGCTGTGAGGGGCTAGATATATATGTATATATGAATTACAAAAATGTAACAAAGTAAATAATATTAAGAAAGCACTGACTGATATAAAGAAGTAGGCTACATTTCTTAATGAATGACTTTAAAGCATCAAACCCTGAGTGGAATAATCGGGAGATGGATCTGGGCTGAGCAGTACCCTTACTTCAATATAAAGATATTTTCCCACGGGGCGCGGGAAACACAAGTGTCAAAGGGAAAGCAGTAATTTGCAGCAGCTTCGGTAGCAAATTAAAAATCCTGCCGCTTGTGCGTGCCAGGCTCTTTGTAGCCATTATTTCAAACTTAAACTTTTGTTATTAATATTAATATTTATTATTATTATTATGTTTGAACTCTAAACACAAGCGGTTCATTCACTGTGAACGTATCTGTCTCAATTCAGAGTTCTTTCATCGTAGCTGCCATGGTTGCGCACAACATAATTGATGAATCTTTGCTCAACCTTTAGCATTTTATGACAGTAATGTGAACAAGCAGTTATCTAGATTATTGAAACTGAACTCAGATTTAGTTAGATCAAATGATCTTCAACTTGCTTTTATGGAATCAATTGAAGCGTGGAGGTTTAGTTCGGCTAAGTGAAGTCAGGCTTTTGATTTTAATCCCCGATTTTCTAAGTGACTTTTATGAAACAGCCCCCAGGGTTTCTGATGGTAGTTTGAATATCAAAGTCCACTAAAGGAGGTTGAGACTTCTCATTTATGGCTCCCAAACTCTGAAACTGAAAATTACAGGAGACTCCCGAAAAAACGAGATTGTGGGCGGGTATGCACTATTTACTGATACTATATAGGGTTGTCAAAACAAATGTAATTTCGAATATTTGTCGAATATATAAAGGTAAATAAAGGTTCACACAAATTTTTGGTGCGTCACTATTGATTGTACAAAAGGGCATAGAATTGTGCATAAGTATGTGATTTGGGACGCAAATTTAACATAAAAAATGCCTTCACGTTACGTTAACATAAAAAATAACATAATGCCAACTTGCGGCTGTAAACGGTGCCTCAAAACCTGGCCCCACCTCAGCTTTGGAAAATATTGATGAGTGACTGCATGTAAAAGTTGAAATATTTTTAACATGAAATGTTTTTTAAAAATGTAATCACTTCATAAAGACACAAACATAAAAATCACCAAGAAAAAAAAAACTTTGTGTGAACGGCCCCTTATTAAACACTTCTCATCCCTAACTCTTTTCATGAAGGCTCAACAAAAATCACACATTTCAGCATTACCGCTGGCATATTGGAATGACATGCAGTTGAGCAGCAGAGGCATGTTTCAAATACAAAAATACAATCCCAAACGGTTGTTGGAAGCATTTTGTGATTGGCAGTAGTTGTTAATACATTTCAGCAGGATTTCATTTTAGTGATGATTGTTCATTGTGGGCTTGTGCGCAGGTTTGCCATGAAAGTAAAAGTATAAGAGAACGCCGGTTGATAATAGGAGACACGAGCAAAGTACAGACAGAACAGCAACTGATGAGCTGGAGCTTTGGCCTTCATCTGAAAACACACACAAGAGAAAGACATTGATAACATACACATGTTGAGGACTGATGATATTTTCAAACAGTTCCAAGGCTTTTCCAAACAGGATACTTGATACAAGTGATAAATCATTTATTTATTTTTTTTTTAATTTTAAGGTTATTTTATATGTTTGAAGTCTCATGCTCACCAATGCTGCATTTATTCCAGATTTCTAAACTGTGAAATATCACTACAGTTTATCAACAATATTGTAAATCAATGTATTTTAAAATTAACATTATTTTTCATCAATCACATCATGATCCTAGACCAGAGGTGCCTAAACTGGGATCTGGAGTCCTACAACAAACCTGCCAACACTCCCGTTTTTCCCCTGGAGTCTCCCGTATTTCAGACCCATCTCCCATACTACCGAAATTCCACCCCCCCAGCTTTTTGGTACAGTCCCCATGCGCACCAAACCCAAAGCGCAACCATCTCCATAGTGCGCGCAACAATTGTTGGCAGGTATGTCCTCCATAGCTTACCTCCAACTTCCTTCAACACGCTTGCCTGGAAGATTCTACCTAGAAAGAGCTTAATTAGCTGGTTCAGGTATGTTTATTTGGGGTTGAAACTAAAATATACAAGAAGCCGGCACTCCAGGACCGAATTCTTTTGTTATATTATGACAGTGTTTTCCTCTGTATTTCCTTCCTCATCAACGCTGCATTTATCCCAGATTTCTAAACTGTGAAACATCATTACAGTTCATTAATAATATTGTAAATGAATATATATTAAAATGCCATTCATTCATTTGAAACTGTATAATCATTTACCCCTAATAGTAACTCGTTAGTCCTTCAGGAAAACATTTCAATATGCAGATTATTTTTGTGTAGTTCTGTAATGAATAATTAATCGTTTTAATTAATCCTTGGTTATTTTAATACATCAGCACATACAATACAGTCCCAGCTATAGTAGGAAAAAAGGGAAATATACAAACAATAGGATAAAACAGTCAGGCTAGGAGCAAAACTATAAACCACAGAATAGAAAATCAGGAGAAATTATTGCTGTAATCCCAAAAAAGGTGTCCATGGCTGCCAAAAGTCATCTGACTTGTGATGTATGTCATATGTGAGTTTCTCTAGTGGAAATAACTTACATACTTGAGACAAGCACATTTAAAAGGAGGGTTACCTGAGTGAGCTACGCATTGATGAATTTGCTCTTCAGTGTTTGAACTCTCAGTTATGATTTAATCACACTGAACTGAGCTAAACTGAACTGAACTTAAACACTAAAACCTGAACCACACTGTTCCAGTTACTGAACCACACTGTCCCAGTTACTATGACCATTTATGTGAAGCTGCTTTGACACAATCTACATTGTAAAAGCGCTATACAAATAAAGCTGAATTGAATTGAATTGAGATGACCACAATAAAAGTATGCATTTTTTGCCAGATAGAGCAAGATTAAAAACAAATGTCCAACACATTCTCTACTCCACCATAGAACAAATCAAATTCCAGAGAAAGACCATGAAAACAGATACTGAAGTGTGTTTTAAACTATAATTTAATACAGATATAATACAAGACTGCATGCAAGTCATGAGCTAGTTTTCATTCCAATGAACTGAAAGGACTCTGAAAGTTCATTCAAAGTCTCGGACAGTAAATATATGAGTGAGATGAGGATAGAAAAGCTTACAGACTAATAATTAAATAATAAATAAATAGCTACGGCGTCGCAGTGGCGCAGTAGGTAGTGCTGTCTTCTCACAGCAAGAAGGTCGCTGGTTCGAGCCTCGGCTGGGTCAGTTGGCGTTTCTATGTGTAGTTTGCATGTTCTCCCTGCGTTCACATGGATTTCCTCCGGGTGCTCCGGTTTCCCCCATAGTCCAAAGACATGCGGTACAGGTGAATTGGCTAGGCTAAATTGTCCATAGTGTATATGTGTGTGTGTGTGTGTGTGTGTGTGTGCGTGCATGTTTCCCAGCTTGAAGGGCATCCGCTGCGTAAAAATGTGCTGATAAGTTGACGGTTCATTCCGCTGTGGCGACCCTGGATTAATAAAGGGACTAAGCCGACAAGTAAATGAATGAATGAATAAATTGTTACATTTTTTTATAATGATCAGTCTTTAAGGTTGTTTTAAATGTCATTGATGTGTCTCATGCTCATTAACGTAGCTTTTATTCCAGATTTCTAAACTGAGGAACATTACAGTTCATTAACATGTTTATAAATAAATATATATTTTAAAATGCCATTTATTCGTTTGAAATTGTTACATCCTTTCTCCTCTAGACTCACTCTATAGTCCTTCAGAAATGTTTTTAATATGCAGATCATTTTTGTGTAGTTATGTAATGAAGAAGAAGAATAAAATCCTTTTGTTACAGGCTTTTTTTAACACAAATTTGGATTAAATATTAAAAAACAACCGCTGAATAAAAAAACATGAATAAAAAGTCACTCTACAGTCCTTCAGAAATCATTCTAACCTGTAGATTAATATTTTTTGTGTAGTTCTGTAATGAATTGGAAGAATAAAAATGTTCTGTGACTGTTTCAAGTACTGAACATGATCTAGGATGTGACATCATGGGCTTTCATTCTTTCTTTAAACAATTATCAAGGTCTGCCAAAAAGTTACAATAACATCAGATCTTCTGCAGAATTTCCTCAGCGTCATTGACGGCACAGCCTGAGACATCTATTATACTCTCGCCAATTTGGCATGAAGTGAATGCAAGGTTTTTTACACTCAAACTATTACACTGTACACTTAAAAAAATGTAACGACAAAAATTCAAACATAGTTTTACATTGCTTTCACTTATTTTAATGAGTTAATAAGGTTTCAGCAACATATTTTAAGCTACTCAAAGTTTAACTTGATGTTTTTAGTCAGTTCAATTGATGCTAGTTGAGATGACGAGAAAAGTTCATTTGATTCAACTAAAACATTTAGGGCAGAAAGAATTTTATTTACAGTGTATAATAGTGACCCTTTTTTGAAGTTTCCCAAAGCACATAAATCCTTTGTAAAGCTAGTCCAAACACCACCAGGAGGTTAATGAATGTCTTGTGGAGCGGATTGATGTGTTTTTTGTGGCAACAATATTTAAAAATCACTTAATTCTGCTGCCGAATGCATGTTCTTGACAATTTTTTGGCTGAACTCTGACATACGACACATTCAAAGCAGAAGAGTAATGCCCTGTATCATGTCACTTATCCGTTCTTTAGCCAGAAAACTATCATTAAGACAATAGTCTGTTCTTCCAGGCAAACCATGGTCAAGATAACGGCAAAAAAAAATCTTTAAATAATGCGATGTTTGTCGTCATCATCTTACTACGAGCCATGTCTATTCCCAGAGTTTCCATTTGTACAGTGGGAGGAAATAAATATTGAACATGTCACCATTTTTCTTAAAAAACATATTTCTGAAGGTGCAATTGATTTAAAATTTTAACCGGATGTTGATAACAACCAAATAAATTTATGTATGCAAACGAAACAAATCTAATTAGCTTACAAAGGAAGTTATATGTAATAGAATGAAATGACACAGAGGAAAAGTATTGAACACATGAAGAAAGGGAGGTGTAGAAATGCATGGAAGGCCCAGACAGCAGCTGAAATCTCAAAGTAGTTCTTTAGCAATCCTTTCTCAGTGTAAATCAGTGTAGCATGATAATGAAGATGAACCCAGGGTGGACATTTCAGCAAGACAATGATCCAAAAGACAGCCAAGGAAACTCTCAAATGCTTTCAGAGAAAGAACATCAAGCTGTAAAATGACTTGAATCCAATAGAAAATACAATTTAAAGCTCAGATTTGATAGACGAGATCCACAGAACCATCAAGATTTTTACACTCTGTTGATGCCTGTGAAAAACTCACACCTGAGCAATTCATGTGCCTTCATTCCCCAAATGTCTTCAAGCTGCCATCACCACAAAAGCCTTTTATATAAAGTATTAAATACACTTCAGTAGTTCAGTACTTTCTCCTTATGTCATTCCAATGTCATTACACAAAACTAATATGTAATAAAGCAACAGCTCCTTTAAAAACATTATTTCCATGGAAAAAACATGACGTGTTCAATACTAATCTAAACGTCACGAGTTACACTTTGAGTCAAAGGAAGCTTTCGTTTTTGAAAAAAACTTCATAAAATGGCCACAACTCAACGCCACAGCATGGAAGAGCCAGGATAAATGTAAAACTACTCCGACTGTGTTTGTCTGAATCATATAAACCAAGAACAGCTTGAGGGTGAGTAAACAAATGATTAATTTGTAGTAGAACTAGCATGTTTGTTAGACAAGAGAATTATTTGAGAGGCAAGTAGTAGTTTGGGATTTTTACTACTAATAACGTCCTTAATTTTACAGTAGGATATGGCTAGTCTTGGTAGTCAGAATGGCCACAGTATAGAGTGCAAGTACTAAATCTTACTAATAAAAAACATCTCTAATAAACATGTACTGGTATGAACAAGTGCTAGTATGTATATAAAAGGAACAAGGACCTGATTAATAAATACTGGTATCTAATGAGTGCTAGTATGCAAGGATTCAATAGTTGTATCTTTTTAAAATGTACTATCTAAAAAATAAGAACTAGTAGCTAATAAATGGAGTGCTTAATGGAAGAATATTACACTAGTAGCTAAAATAAGAAGTAAATCCTGATTTTTTTCAACACAAATTTGGATTAAACATAGAAAAAACAACCACTGGATTAAGGAAAATGTAATAATATTTAAACACAGCCATTGGGTTTGTTTATATTTGTCCCAGATTTGGGTTGAAATTGCATGAAAACAATTACTGTGAAAACAGATCCTGAAATGTATTTTAAACTAATTTAATACATGATACAAGACTGCATGTAAGTCATGAGTTAGTTTTCCTTCCAATGAACTGAAAGGACTCTGAAAGGTCAATCAAAGTCAGTAAAAATGAGTGAGATCAAGATGGAAAAGCTTACACACTA